GCGGGGCACACGCTGTGCTCGAATGGGGAGAATCTTTTTCACGTTCGGAGCTTGGTATCCCGACTAGCGGGGTCTGGTTTGCGCTGGACCCTTTTCCCGTCGGAAGGGCCTTTGTTGTAGTGCGACAAAAGCAGTCCACGCCGTACGTAACGATGCAATTTAATTGGAAATGTTAAACGCGAACTCCACATTATTTGTAACTCCAATTAAAGAAACGTGAAAATATGAATGATAGTGCTACTGGCGGATCTACGCAATCTTCGAGTATATATTACTCAAATTTATTCATATGTCGTATATTTTCCTTCAACTGCCTTAAACATTTGGAATTTGGAAATATTTGGCAGCTCAACCCTCAGTATTTCGAAGTATTGTTTAATTCGAACTTTTTATTTTCGGATTTGAGACTCACTCTATTTGGACATCCACCGAATTTAGACGAGAATAAGTTGCTCATTTTGTGAGACAATTTTTCATCCACTTAAAATGTACAAGGTTTGCATCATTTGGAATGTGTTTATCTTCTCTTCAAAGGACGGATAATAAGATAAAACAATCTGAAATGATATGTGAAATATATACTATCCAAAGGTTTGATTCGATTGAGGAATTACGGACTAAAATGTCAGATTTCGGTGCTAAAATAAACAAAGAAAGCACTTGAAGCAAGCCCTCCAAACAGAAAAAAATGATTTTTAAAAATGTATAAAATACTCTAAAATAGCAAATATTTAATGCAAGCTGCTGCACTTAGTTGATGGTTACGTTGTTATGTTGAAGTATCTAAAACAATTCCCGGTTGTTAAACGTTACCATATAATTTATACAGATGGATAATAAAACAACTAAGTTACTATTTGTGTTGCAAGATGAGTATCTCTTTCTCGTATTAATTGCTCCTCCATTGTTGTGGATCATGGCATCATTTTCAATTTTACCCCACCCCCTTCCCTGTTGCCATCTATCAGCGCCTAAAAGACCGCCCGCGGACAGAACCGTTCTCTCGGGGACTTCTTTCTGAACAGCAAACTCCCGCTCCCCAAACACCATTCCCAGGTAGATCTTAGGCCCAACTCGGAGCTTTGCCATTACAAATATGCTTGAGGTAACCCATGGCCCCATCTCGGTGTTTGTAGTATTGTTTTGGGTGTAAAGTTCCTAAAATGAATTTCTTTTCCAAAGTCAAGTCTCTCCATCGCAGTTTGTTTTCTACTTTTACGTAACAATATATTCGTAAGAAGAAACTCCATCATGCTGCGAATTGTTGTTTCTAAAATTCCGTTTCCCCTATGCTAAACAGTATCTGAAAATCAATGCAATACAATTTTATCTTGAACCATGAAGCTAATTGTAAATGTTTTCTTTCCTGAAAACTTGTGATTCATGGAGGTACATTTTGGACTTAAGTTCTTCCATTACCCTCGCATACACAGATTGTACACAAATCACATCCACAGTTTCAAGGCAAGGAATTACGGAAGGGTTAAGATGATGCAAGGGTCCAGAAAGGGCCCTCACGCAAGCCCGTTTTCCCACGAGACCGATCGACTTGGCCGTACTATTTGCAAACGTGCTATATTAATTAAAGTAATAATTAAATTAAATAATTATGATACAAGCAAAATTGATCGTTTTAATGTATTTTTCCTACAATGGCTTTTTCAACTTTTCATGTATGTTAATGAAATTAAACACCCTTCTTTTCCTCAGCAACAATGTAAAACAATTATTTATGATACTAGTGGTAAAAGTGACAATTGTGATGACACACGCAGAAAAATCACTATTATCACGTGTGTTATAACTGTTTAGGCAGCCTTACAGACTTTCCTTTTATTTTAACTCAATGTTTCATTAAGATCAGTTGTAGCTGCTCAGACAAAAGTATTTTGTTTTCTTTGAAGCATTCTCAGTTTTATCTGAACATTTGAGCATCATCTCACTTTCAGCACTGGTGCTAAACATTGCACTTTAAGCGTACTCATCCCCTCCAAACCGCTTTTCCTTTTTCATTATTTAGTTTAAAATTTCTTTATCCCGCACTTATTAATAGACCCATTTATTACAATTCAAAAGCTTTACAGAAAATCTTGAGTAATACTGTAAAATTGAGTGATTATCTCAATTAATACAATTGTTTAGTTTTCGTTCATCTAACAATACCATTGAGGATATTGTGTTTTGTTACAAAATATGTAGTATATTTTATACAATTTGGTTAGGTAAAGTCAAACAATGCCATTACAATCAGTTTTGTAATTATGTACTTTACCGCCCTAGCGTGGTAATGTATTTCATTATGACACTAGAGCGATAAAGTAATGACGCACTTTGTCACTCTTTTTTTGAACATAGTTTGGACTTCTTTGTCGACCGAGTAAACGTACTGATATCAATATTGCCATTATGTGATATTTTACTCTTTAAAATAGAGTTTCAAAGACAACATGGCTTTTCCTTCTCTGGCTACCACAAAAGTAAACAATCAAAACTTTTTACGATATGGAATTAACGTTTGTAAATTTAAAAACTCATGCCCGGCGCAGAAGATCGGCAGCGGATTGTTCCGCTCTAGACGCCGGGACGAAATCCGCGGGACCGTTCACACCGCAGCGTCATGTATGACTCAGCGTTTCCTCCTCCGATAAACAAAACGCGCTCGCTTCTATTCATGCACGAGATAGAAGATACTCTTGGTACGTTTTCTGAGCACATGCGGTACGGAGCTTTTACCTTCTTTATCTACGATTTTCCATCATTTTTAATGTCTGTTTAGGAAACGAAGGAAAGGAGTCCATGATTCTGACCTAGAAAGGAAAAAGGACGGAGAATTTCATGCCTTGATGCCACAAAGGACGAAAAACGCTTTTATATTTTCTTGAATAACCAGTGACTTTCAATGACATTACTGTCATAACTAAAACAAACAAAATTTTGAGGACAAAAATAATCTAAATTTAATGTTATTTAAAATTAATTACATTACTGAACCCGATTAGAAGTATTTTTTCTGAGCGTTCAATAGTGTCAGATTGGCTGGCGAGCTGAAAATATCCGACGTCTGTCGAGTTTTGCCTTGGTTTCTACAGCGAAACTCGAGCTGCAGAGTTCTGCGCGAAGGCAAGGGAGTTCGACTCAAACGAGAGAGAAAACTTCCGAAGTCAGGCGGACTTCCACGAAACTGGAGCGCCACCGGTAAAAAAAATTATAAAAAAAAAAAAAGCGTCGACTGCGTTAAAAAATCCGCTGCGTATTAAACACTGCGAATCCTCTGCCGCGCAGGTCGCCTGCCGCGCAGGTCTGAACGAGCTCATAAGGTAACACGTGCAACGAAATTTCCACTGCGGCAATTCCGCGTAGGCTGCGGGTCTTCCGAGCCGATCTGTTGGAGACTTTATTTGGGAAAAATCCTGTGTGTGGTTTTAGTGTTAAGCGTCCTTCACACATAGTTGGACATCTAGATTTTCTTAAAAATACTTATTCTTTTTCGGCTTCTTCCCTTTCAGGAGATCGCCATTTTAGACATCCACAGATCCCGGTTTTCCCAATCTTCAGATATTAAATGTCTGTCCTCCATGGCTTCATTGATTATTTCTCCCATTCCAGAGTTGACCTTCCTCTTGTCCTTGTACTTGATGGTTGCCATTCCAATATTTTCTTGGACATAAAAGATTTATTTCCGTAAAAATCTCGACAATCCTTTTACAGCAGAAATACGTAACTTTCTCGATGCTACGTAGTATACAGAATGAATGATTTCAGATCGTTAAAAAGACTTCTCCGTATTCTCGTCGGTTAAATGAAGAAATGCCTCTTTATGACATTTCCATGCTTCTTTTCTTCACAACAGTTTCTCGACGATTTTTTATAATTTCCAAGAGGTTGTGCGTATAAATTATTCGCCCCTTTGAGAATAGTTTTAAGTTTTGACGAAAAAACGAAGAAAAACGAATATTTACGAATTGCCGGAATCGGAGTGCAAATTACGAAAACATTGTATCGTGTACTGTCCATCAGTCTGGTCTGTTTTTGGCCATCATAACTTTACACCGTCAGCCAGCCGTCAGAATTCCAATTCACTCGCTGTTCACAAATGGCACTAATGACCTCCCGAGTTTAAAACACGGCTTCGAGATCTGATAATGCGCGTAAAGTAGCGGTTATACTATAAGGACCTGTTTTATCACTTGTAAATACTCAACCTCTGTACTACGCCTGTTCTGCATATTTAAGGAATTACACCGTTTTTCGCAATTTATGATCGTGTTTTATGGGCCTAAAATGGAAGATTTTAAAACCTATATATCTGAAGTCCAGTTCTTATACATATTTAAACATTAAAACAAAATAAATAATTAGTCGACAAAATAAAATAACCCTTCTTGTTCATTTGAAAATAATACATATGTTATTACTTCAACACTTTACCGTTTTTAGAAAACTACAAACTTGCAATTTCGTTTTGTTAGACTGACATGGATGAACAGTAACAAGTTCTAAAGGCATGACGTTTAGATTTCGACATTTGGTAAGAAGAAAACAAAATCATTCTGCCATTCAATAAGTTTGTTTAATACGATCTCTAACCATGGAAACGTTGTGCAACATGTAGTCTGATCATGACTGTAACGAAATCGTTGTGCCTTCGGGTATGAGTTTACATAACCTAAGGCGGCTTCCTGAGTTTATCGGAGCGTGATGCCAAAGTACGCGTTACACAATCATACATAAGGCATGCGCTCCCAGCGAGAGGATAACACCGCTCCAGAAGTGCAGACCGTCGTGAAAGTGCTGCCTCCGGGCCATCGTTCGGAATAAAGCAACACAGAATGCGCTCCTCTCTCGAATGCACTTCGCAATGGAAGCGTGAAATAACCGCTTCGTATGTTGCGCTCACACGCCCGATTTTATTGCTCTGCTCCTCATGACGCAGCACACACAGGAGGATTGCTTCTGATGCCAAAGATGTCGGACGTGCGCTGAAAGCCTGCTTTTATACAACCTCCGAGAAACTGTGCGAGGCGCTAGAGGTCATCGTGGTGGGAAACGTCCGGTCACGAGTTGTGAACACGGGTCTTCGGCCTCGAGAGACGCACGAAACGTGGTCGTGCAGCTTTGGTGTCAGAGAAACGTTTTGCCCCCATTTTCTTTCCGAGGATAAAGGAAGTGTGAGTCAGCAGGACAGGTCCCTTGAAAATGGAGCAGAGGATTCACATAGTAATTGCACGAATAGGGCAATTATTACAACTAATTTTTCAATTATTTATGCTTATTTTAATAGTACACATCTAAAATTGATATTACATTATCAAACACTCATGAAATTGTATTATAATACTAATTCTAATAATTATTATTAATTCATAATAATTATTTTTTATAATAATTATGAATTTAATAAATAATTATTATTATAAATTATTAACTCGTGAGTTTTAATTTGCTACAAATTTAGAAATGACTGTCCATCTTCTTAATCTTGGGCGGTTCTAAGGAGGTTGAAGAATGAGTAAGATGCATTGACAATCTGGAACATAGGATTACCACAAATTCATATAAAAATGTATAATTGTATGTTCCAAAGAGGAATATTAATAATCTATATTCGTTGAATCAAGCATTGAAACTGTTCAAACAAAACATACAAATCTTCAACAGTGCTAATGCGAAAGGAATAATATATTATAATGTAGATAAAATTTCCATAATAACCGCGTACAAATGGATTTGTTAAAACACTTCAACTTTTCTCCTCGTTGAGTTCTGAGCGCTGGATTCGCCAATGGCTTGCAGATACGCACGTATAAGAAAGTGTTGCGCGAGAGGTCGTAGAAGACGCCGCCGCGGAAGGACAGGGTCTTCTGCGCGCGCAGCAGCACGAGCAGCACGCCCTTCTTGAAGTGCTGCGACCCGCTCGCCCACCCGCACCCGTACGCGGACTGCGCCACTTCCTCGTGCTGCAACACAATTCAACCACGCCAAGAAGGAGAAACACAAGGGAGGGGGTGGAAGCTTGTTATCTCCATCTGTGGTGTTTTAAACTACTAGCCGAGGTTCCTTTTTGGTTTTCTCGTGTACATGATGTGTATCCTACATCATTTCAAAACTACAAAATTAAAGAAAGATTTTTTTTAATTAGACAAAGTCTGTTAAAAAATTCAGTTCTTGAAAAGATGACTTTATTTTTCTCGTGCACATGATGTATATCCTACATCATTTCAAAACTACAAAATAATTCAACCACGCCAAGAAGGACAAACACACTAGGGACGGGATGGAAGGATGTTATCTCCATCTGTGGTGTTTTAAACTACTAGCCGAGATTCCTTTTTGGTTTTCTCGTGTACATGATGTGTATCCTGCATCATTTCAAAACTCCAAAATTGAAGAAAGATATTTTTAATTGGACAAAGTCTGTTAAAAAAATGCAGTTCTTGAAAATATGACTTTATTTAGGAAACGAGTAGTTTTTGCGTAGTTTGTACATCAAAGTAAGAACTTACACAAATTATTTATAAAAAATATTTTCTCAGAAACCGCTCCAAATTGTTTCTTTAATTTTTTCCCCCGCAGACAGAAGAAGAGACACTTTAAAGAATGTTGCGTGACTAATTTTCGTTGAACACTATGAATTTTTGAAAATCGCAAATTTAGAAATAATACAGGAAAGTGTGTGCTGTTTTAGCAAAAGTTTTATTAACTGAATCAGTGGATTCACCATTACCCCTAAAGCAGGATTCGTGTATTCCGAGGTAAAAAAAGACATCACAAGTATTTTCCTTTGGGTTGGGGATTGGTGTGCGAGGTCTCCTGATTAAACAACCATGGATTGTATCTTTGGGGCTAGGTGAAATAAGTTTTTAGAATCTACTTGTGTAATGTAGAAGACGTTTCTGCACTTTATATGCAGCTGTCGCAAGTATTAATGAAGTTATTCTACTTTACGTGTAGTAAGTATCGCGTTGACATGCAGTTACATGAATGGAGGTCACTTAGAATATATTGCAACATAAGTTTTCCAAATTCAAATGTTCAGGCCAGTTGTGTTAACTGGCTAAGATATCAACAGATTTTCCCTATGATGGTTAATACAATGCATTCATACGAATGTATTCACTCACTGTACTTGAGTTTCAGTGCGTACTGTAGTCGTGTAATTGCCTTTGTGTATTAATATTATTCGTATGTTTTGCTAAGTTATCAGTTATTTCGTCTTCATCAATCCCACAGCCTGAAGGTATATACTGAAAATGTATTTGTTTTTCGTTTTACATTTCACGTAATTATTTTACAAATTCAAATCGAAAAAACGATATGATACTGATATTATGATGATACGATATGATACTGTGGATTGCAAAGTCTTTTATGTGTCACATCAAATAACAGAAGACAGAAATAAAATGTTGTTTACTCAGGATGAGAAGAATTCATTACTTTATTCTCCATTGATTCTAATTATTCACATCAGTTTTGTGAATAATCCTTTGACAATATTGCATATATCACATTCAGTAATCGACCGTCGATAAAAACCGCCATGACAAAATACTCGCATTGATAATCTCACCATATTTCAAAATGTGTTGCTTTTTCTTTTGGTGTGGAACATGTATAAAGATTCGGAAATACGTACTCGTTGGGTTACTCTGTCTCCATACCAACAGTAAAGAAATAGTTGAATCATTATCGTATAAAGATATACACCATATTTCGTAGTGGCTGCATTATCTCCTCCAGAATTCTGTAAAAAATGAAATTTTGTTCCAAATTGGTAAAATAAAAATAATAAATTCGTCAGTTAATCTACACATGATAACATTGCACGAAAGAAACCAATAACTTGAAGATTATTAATAATAAACATATAATACGTAGTACTAGTAATAGTAGTGACATAAAAATAAATGTAAGACATCAAAAACATTTGTTTAACAATAGCAAATTAATATTACATCATGGAAATACATTTTAATACTCTTGTGTTGACGAATGTTACACTTGAGAAAAATGTTATGAATATATTGTTTCCTTGTTTAGTTAATCCAGGAAATATTAAAATATGATTTAAAATCGTTCAAAATGATGTTTCTCTTTCGGTTAATCAACAAAACTTTTCAATTTCGCTTCAAATTTGATTTTGATTTTTCGAATTGTTTCAAAAAAATTCCAATGTTTTTATTAAATTGTACTTATTATTTACAATTGTACATATTAAATTGTACATTAAATTGTACACATACACATTTATGTAATGCTAAGTATCAACATTTATTATCCTTTCCAAACCAAGAATATTGTCTTCAAATAAACAGTACTCTTATCTTGTTTACGATATGACAATTTTCTATAAACAGAAACCGTAAACGAACTCAAGTTATAGCATTCCTGTTTCAGCAATATACTTACTAAAAATCTTAATTTTGGTCTCACAGTGAATATTGAAATGGGTTTTAACTGTTTTGATTGCAATTTCGATTTAATACCTTGTTGAATATCTACATACCAGTTGTGATTCTTTTTCGCTTACCGCAGCTGTAGCGTAGAGAGCCATACACATTACTGTCATGCACACTACAAACTGGACAAGGACTGGAGCAGAGATGACAGACTGAACCTCATAGACAGAACTGAAACACGCATTCAAATTAAAAGTAATTTACTAAAAATATCATTACGCCAACACTTTCGTATTATTAACGTACTCAATTATTTTCTGATGAAAATCCACAACGTTGGTCATCTCAGTTTCCATTTTCCCTTCGTGTGGGTCTACTAAATCGTCGATGATTAGAGGACCAACCCCCTTCTTATTCCTTTGATCGTTTGAACACCTCTCCCTCAATGCAGCGATATCTTCGGCCAAAATCTGAAGGAGAGCCGCAACATAAATCATCATCGATATATACAAAGTATCGATGACGGAAGTAACGATTGCGAGATAGAATATGGCCAACACCTAATAACATGAGACATGAATAATAGTATTCATCAAAACGACGTAATATGTAACGTAACGTAGTACAAAGACCAATTTGAAAGCAAATTTCAGGATATTAATACATCGCCAATGTTTGTTCATCCGCTATACTTTGTAATTAAATTGCTTGTATGTGATTGCTTCAAAAATAATATTTTACAACGTACCTGAAAGAGGTATGCGTAAGTGTAGCCAGGATTTTTGTAGAAATCCCATACGTAATATGCAACGCCGGGGAAGGCAGGCAGAAGACACTCATTCGGTCCATCTGAAATGTGAACAAATGTTCATTTTCACAAAGATTCACGCATCTGCGTTTCTCCTAACTCAGGAAAAAGTAGAAGCGTTCGTGAAGTATATACAACAGAAAGTCAGAAGAAAGTGTCAAATATAAACTCTAAAAATTCTAGTACTCTTTGCAACAAATTAACTATCAATAATACTATCGATTTCAAATGTTGCAAATTGATTTTGAAATAAATTAATAGTAAACGACGGTCAAACGCTTGTAATGCAGGTTTCAGCCAAATCTCAAATGGAAAGCCCGAGTAAGTCAATTTTAACAGTAAGTTAGGTGTTCAAAATATTTCGCATTCACTATTATACTAATGCATTTTCGCCTGGATTCCGCGGAAGCTTACTGCTGATCCCTGCACCTTGCAGGACGGCAGAATCAGGCTTCCGCGGGGATGAATTACCCGGTCAGCTTTTTCGTTCTCGTATACGTACGACGTTATCGTACCCAGAGGAGTGCATACGTACATGATGGTAAAAAAAAAGCATTATGGGCGTTTCACTACGTGATTAGGTATTTTTTTATCAAGGTCATCTGAACGTTGTTCCGTACGATCTTATAGCGTCGTTAGTCACGTGTACCAAAGCAGTGTAGGAATGTCCCTTATGCCTGGTACTAATACACCAAAACATGAATTGAACCGCATTGAACCTGTTTCCCAATAGAAATTATTTCGTATCCAGTCATGCCTTTGCTCGCTGCTCACCCTCGCCAAGCACTACGCCTGAACCGTTGAAGTCGCGGCGCCGACCTCCACGTCGGGGCGAGCGTGGCGGCCTGCGCCGCGCGCAGCTGCGCCCAGCACTCCGAGGTTGGAGGCAGGTCATGCGCGGCGTGAATGCACACCGTGACGTAGTCCAGAAAGCCAGAGGCGACACGAAGAAGAAGCTGATGATGGCGCCCTTGCGCGCCGCCAGCGGCGAGTGAGTCTGCCGGCTGGACGCGGCGCCGCGCGCCACCAGGGGTCAGTGACAGCTCGTCCCGGTTCCTCGTATGGGGGCGCTTCCAGCGCTCCGCGGCGCGCCACGAACGCAGCGCCTGCGCACAACAGACGCCGATCGCCTCAACTCGATGTTGGGGACAGGGCCCTCGCAACTCTCCAATCAAAATGGGGATCACAGCTCGAGGTTGCTAACTATAGGAAGCCGGTCAGGTGTCGCCGGGTGCAGCTGCAGGTTAGGCCATCGCCAACTTTTCACATACAAATTAGCTAATTTGTGAGAAATGACGAAAGTGTCTTCTAAATGTACCATTATTCATAATATATAGTTATAAGAAAACCCTCTGAAGAAAGGCGAACGTAAACGTTATCTTTTGTAACATTAAGGGCCTGCTTGCGACCCGCGAACTACGCAGCAGTCACGCACGTTTAAAGTATCGTTGGCAGCAGTTCCTGTAAAGAAAGGGTGATGCAGCAGAGCGCGCCACCGTAATGGTCTCCACAAAAAATTAATTTTATGGGAGTTATAGGGCCCTGGTTGGGGGATGGGCGACTTATCTCTAAGTTGAAATGAGAAACATAATATGGATGTTATTTGGTTTTTGTTCCTACAAAAATCGTGATATGACTTTCTAGGCCCATGTCCGGGTGGATCCGCGCGTCCGTTGGCAGAGAGGCCGACGTTTCGCGCCCTGTGTTTCGCAGGCTTCTTCAGGGTAAATGACGCCCCGGACTCCTAGAAGTCGTGACTCGAGCCGCGGAAGCCTACGTGTACATCGTGAAATATATGTTAAAAAATATGTAATTATTACCTAATAATCTGAAATATATACTTTAATATGCAATTCAAGTTCACAATATTTAATTCTTCTTAGCCAAAAAAAACCCTTTCTTGATTTAAAAAATTTCCCAATCTAGGGAAGTTGGCAATGACCTCTATCCGACGAATAAGCAACCACACTCTTGAGCTTGCGATGCAGCCTTCGAAATACCGGCCTTACTTTGATAAACGCGCGGTCGTCTCGATGTAACAAGGACCCGCTGGAGACGATGGCGTCCCCATGTCTGCTCGAAACGATGTATATGGCTGAAGCAGCGATCACCATCACGCCGAAGAGCATGGCAGCATCCACAGGGTGAGCAAGTTGTAGAGCAAACCCGCGTGTGCGGAAAGTGGCGCTTCGAGTCTGGGCCTAACCACAGGCCTAATGAACGCAAGGTTGAAAGGGTTTGATGCTTCAAATTCAGGCCTGGAAACATTCGCAGGCAAGACATTTAGGAAAAACATCAAAATATATGTATTTATGAAGTTTACACGTTGTCCGTTTTGTGCCTGATTGGTTGCGCCATCTTTGAACTGCGTCAGAAAGTTACCCGCCACAGTTACGGTCACTTGGTACCTCATCATATTTTTTCTCGTTCGTATTTTCCGAAACCGTATAAAAATTTTGTACAAGTTTTAATCTTAATTGCTAAACATGTTTTTAAACTTGTATTACTGATGCAGATAATTCAAAATACGTAGAAAGGTTCCTTGTGTAAAGTAAGGTATATTGTATAAGTAAAGGTACATTGTGTGATATCAGGTATAATACTTCGAAAGGAATTCCCTTTTGTTATCCACCAAAAATATATTCCAACAGTCATCGGAAGTGCCTTATTAGACTCCGAGACGGGGAAAATGACAGTAGACCGTTGTGAACTTCCTGGGATTTTCGTTTCTGTGGGCTTTGATAGAATCACTCAGTTATTGGTGTATGCGCATATGAGATTGAGGGCCTTAGCTTTGGGCCTCAATTTAGGTCTCATTTAGACCTCAAGTCTCAACAGAATATGCTTTTTGCGTGAGTTAATTTAATTAATTTGCAAAGGGAGGTTTACACTCCCTCATTGCACTGTCCGACATTCTACAAGTGGAAACTCTTCTGTAACGAATCTCCAGAGACCGAGTGTTTTCTTGACATTATAAAGAGTTTTTCCGGTAGCAAAGAGATTTTGGCTTGAGATACAAGAGAAATAAAGGCTGGTTTAAACAACTATACAAATGCTATTTTCTTCTCTAATTATTCCCCTCTACAAATACGATCTTTGATTGGAAAATACAAATTCGAAAAATTCAAAATTCGAAAATTCAGAGAATTCAATGAAAATGAATCCCACACCAATTCCTTTAAGTGCCCTTCATTTTGTTGAAAAACGTGTAAAGAAAAAATTGGAGCAATTTTGGGGAGATTTTTTTTATATTCAAATAATTTCAGCAACAAAATTTGCGGAAATCCGTTAGTTTGTCAAAAATTGGTACCCTGGCTTTCCTTAAAGAGTAATATTTTAAACAATAGGGTTTTGCCCAAAGGCAAGCATCTTTATTTTCAATTTTGTAGTTTTTGGAATGTTAACTATTTGCTAATATTACGAATTGGGAAGAGCAATATTTTTTTTTTCGTCTTGAATGCATATGAGGAGAAATTTATGAAAATATTTATGAATAGGACAACATTTCTCGTCATATTTTCACGCAAAATCACGAGAAAGTATCAATTTCCATAATTACCACACACAAACACACACACAGATATATATTTAGGAACAGATTTTATTAAGGGAAAAATCTCTATCTTTAATAATTATAGTTGTAGAATCGTAGGGCTTCATGGTAAATAACCCCCCAAATCAAATTTCGGTTTTCAAATTCAGGACGCGATATCAGGCCAGAAATGTCGCTTTCAATTGATGGGGAATATCAGTTTTTGGAGAAATCGGCTGAACGGTTTTGCCGCTAGCGTTGTTCCACACAGGACAGACGAACAGACAGACGAACAGACAGACGAACAGACAGACGAACAGACAGACGAACCGACAGACGAACCGACAGACGAACCGACTGACGAACCGATAGATTATTACTTCTAGGCCTACGTGTACATGAACCGATAGACTAACGAACAGACAAACGAAGAGAGAGACGGACAGACAAACAGACAGACGGACAGACAGAGTTTTGTAATGATTCGACGTTTCAGTAACAAGAACCCCAAAAACATGGATTCCGGCTACACTTGTTGAAGGATTTTGTTTCCCACATTTAGCAACAGATTTATATACTTTTTCATTACCAGGGACCGGTAATTATACCTTTAACTTCAATATTTTAGCTATAGGGCGACTCCCAAAAATTGGACTTTTGCAATTTTCGAAACATCTGGGATTTTAACGAAAATGAGACCGGCACTAATTTCTTAAGCGTCTTTTACGCTATCCGAGGAAAAAGTTTAATAAAAAAATTTGGTGCGATTTTTGAATAATATTGAAAAAATTGTAGGTTTTTTTTAAAGTACTTCCAAAAATCAAATTACCCATTGCACACTTCCAAAGCCTTGAGTTCTTTCGCATCCATCAGGAAATATGAATTTTGGAGAAAATCGGCTGAACGGTTTAGGCGCTAGCGTTGACCACATATGGGCCGATGGCCCAACGGACAAACGGGCCGTCTGGACAGATGGGCCGTTGGACAGACGTATCGAAGTACAGACCGACCGATGGACAGACCGACCAATGGACAGACAGACAGTCAGAAGGATAGACCTACCGACGGACAGACCGACCGACGGACAGATCAACCGACAGATGGACGAATGGTCGGACGGACAGACGTTTTGCCGTCAAGTCATTTTTCGGTATCAAGGATCCGCAATCATGAATTTTGGCTTCACCCCGTGTTAGAGGAAGTAATTTACTATACATATGAACAGGGTTTATCCATGTTTTCATTACCAGGGCCCTGCAATGAAGGTTTTTACATCGAAAATCCGCGTTTTCCAGCGCACGATTTCGTAACACTCTTCTTACGAAGTGCGAGAATGTAAAAATGAGTATTGCAAAATGAATTTTATAATATTTGACAGAAATGGAACTCGCGCAACAAAATTAACAATAACATCCACATATGCACTTAGTATTGTATGTTTCCTCCCGAAGGTTCTATAAGCAATACTTTTGAATATCTAATCATCCTAAACAACCGAAGATGAAAAGAAGTTTTCTTTTGAATAAATAAAATTCTATAAGCTAATTTAAAGACATAAGCATAGATTAAGATATTCACACTACTATTAGTTTGGCATTATTAAGTTAATTGCCTTATAAATTGTGAAAGGAGCGGTACTCACCAATTCCGTCATACTTGATAATTCCACAGAGTAAAGTCACACCGGTCGGCATTTCTATGCAAATAGTCTTCTGTATCGAGTTCTTTCTTTCAGCTCCGCAAAGTCACAGTGTGGAGAAAAGGTGGTTCTTTCGTATTTCTGTGCGCACTTCGTCAAATGATAAAATATGCTACCAATAGTGTATAAAACATGAGTTATAAATTATTTATTTTAGTTCTCCTTAAGGAACACCTGCATCGTATTCCATGGTCTTTTTCTTGCTTGTTTCACGTTCTGAATGTTCATTAAATGAACCGAGAATAAAGAATTTGAAGAAATTGTTAATTGAAGTCTACTACTGTGAGGAAGGAGATCTCTTTCCTTCTATTTCATGATTACTTCCTTCATAAAGTAAGTCTTCACATCAAAGAACAGCTTAATAGACGTTCCTGAATAATTGAACCTCGTTAATTTAAAAAACGTTTTTTTGTAAGCCGAAGTTCGATCTCTGCTAGACATTTCGTGACATTATCTCGAATGCATATGGTACAACATATTCAAGGTGCCCTGATTCTCCTAAATGGCTTCTTATATCAACTAGTCACCAAGAATACAGCAAATAGGTACTTGTGAAGTGCTAAATTATACATATATTTTGTTATGCAGGTATCTCTTAACGTTCGTAAGTGCTTGTAATCTGTTGATCTCTGAGGAGAAACCAATACAATGCTTATATACAGCATATGTCTTTTCGCCGGGAGAAAGGGTTCAGGGCATAAACTGATGTCATGGCAGTGCCTATGTCGAATTCAGACGCTGTCTGGAGGAGAATTCAAGCGCCCGACTGCTCTGATCTTTCTTTTTCCGTAGTTTCTACTATCAACATCAAACAAATACCAGAACAGTACCTTAACAAAGGGGCCACGAACCGCGCGCGATCATTCCTTCCCTTTCCTTTTTCTACTCCCCCCTACGTAGACACACACTACCACACATGCCGGGAGACTGGTCGGGAGCTTAGAACTTGTCCCGGCTGGGGCGTAGCGTGCCTATGTACTCGAGGAAAATGCATATCCATCCATCTTACTAATTTCTATTTCACTCAGAAATTTGAAAGAAACCTATGGAATCTCCAGCCTTGCCGGATGAATATATGATTTCGTTACATACCCAGGAACATGGGAAAACACAAAAACATCTATATTTCTAGTTTTAATGCGGGCGCAATATGAAAAACTTTTGCAGTCTCCCCCCTTACAAATAAATATCTATGGTTTCGTTAGATACCTAGGAATAAAAGAAAAATACAGCAACATCTATTACTAATTTCCAATGCGTCCAGAAATTTGACAGAAAAAACTACGCTGCCTCGGATCTTGAGAGAGGTGTCTATGATTTTGTTAGATTCCCACGTGTTGGGAACAATACAGAAAGGACTGTGTTACAATTTTTCAGTGCCCTAGAAATTGAAAACCATGCAATCGAGGCCGCCGCTTTCCTGTATTCCTGCAATATGACTATGGAGATATAGTACCAGATTGGCAACGTCCTATCTCGTAACATCGGCGCTAGTGAAGCCAAAATCTTGCGCTCGTCGCAATCTTTATTCACTATATATTCGTTCCCCACCTATGCTGTATGTGTTAAATTAATGAGCTTTTTCTTATTTCTGAATTGTCTCCGTTGTGTTTTGCCCATTTCTGAATCACTTCCATCACGATGGTGAATACATGTGTTTGGATGCAATTTCTCGAATTCGCTACTCAAGGGAAAAGAAATTGAAATTTCTTAACATCAGTAAGTTACTGCCTTTTCGTGATCTGCACTCATAAAATTGGTAGTTAAGTTACTGAATTTTACTGACTTATTGATGGTTTCTGATATTAAGATTCTATGATTAAGCAACTAATTAAAAGTAGGTAGGAAATTAATACGTAGTGCTCTTCCCAGTCCAAGACGTATACGTTCTTGGTATTTTAAAAATTGATTTTGAACCAGGATTCAGTGTGGAATGTTTAAAATCTATTAAGCTAAAAACACAAAAACAAATTTAACCTTTTTAAATGTTGCACCACACGTAACGGTTCGATTGGCCCTTTCAACCACGTTTCCGCCGACCCACGGTGCTACCATGTGTGTGAAGTGATACTCCTCTTCCTACGCCCTGGCCCATATTATTGCGCATGTGGGCGTCCAGCAGACACAGTGTTCATTTATTTCCAGTAACTGACAATAGATGGCATTCTAGAGGAGGATCGTCTCTCCGCCAGCCAAGCAGCTGCGGTAAAAAAAACGCTTTTTTTTTCTTGACACTGCATCGCTGTGATATATGGACTATTACACGAGAAGAAGAAACACTGAGAATGACTCCTCAAAGTGATTTTGAGTTTTCGCGTTGCCTAAAACGTGCACGGTTTAAAAACTCGATCAAAGAAATTTCCGATAACTATGTAATACAAAAATATTCATTTCCTTCTTACATCAAAGAAAATATTGTATTTGGAAATTACATTTAAAAGAAGGAAATGTGTGAGGACATTCACGCTTCTCTCCCCTGAGATACCGCCACTGTCCCCATTGATCGTCAAGAACAAGTGTCCTGCCTCAGGACAATTTACAACGCCGCTTTCTTACGTGTTGTCTTACGTGTTGTCGGCATACTCCTTCCATAAACGATGACGCGTGCTTTATAGATATCAGCAGGCCACATTCCATGAGTTTGGTGAAAATGAAAACGTATGACGGGAGCGCACTACACCTTCGGCGGGATTCAGAATTGACGCAGTCATAGTGAACGAAACGTAGACATGAGAAACAACAGAGAGCGGAAAGTGCTAGGAGGCCAGGTGAAGCACACCATTGTACACCAGACGCACCACGGTGCAGCTTTTCGGCCAACAGGGGTAACCTTACTATTTCGGATACGTTTCATGCATGCTTCAAATAGCGCAAATTTTCCGAAGAAAATATATTTTTTGCGTACATATCCAGAAATCACAAGCCAAATACTATTCACATTTCAACCTATCGACTGCTGCTTTGTGCTTATATCATTTATATTATTGCTTCATTTATGAGCGCTGAGAGGGATCGATATCTCTTTGCATGTTTTAGAAAAAGTGTTTTTCCATCTGTAGCGAAAATATTGTTTAAATCGATAGTGTGCTGGTGTAATCGCGTATTGTCGCCGGACATGAGATTTTTCTGTTAACTATATAAACACCACCTCCGATCGCGCGAATCGGCACGCTCAATTAAGGATTCCTAGGAACTGAAAACCATGTGCAGTTCGCAAAGGAACTAATTCAAATGAATGATTCCTACTCCTAGAACCAGACAAAGTTAGGTAATATACCGTCTTAGAATGTGTCCAATACACCATACCACTACTTGCCTCTTTGCTCGATTTCGGCTGAGAACTGCCTTCTACGCATAGTAAGGTTGGAACATTAAAATAAAACGTTATTTAGACGTTGTTTGATGAGTGCTTTAGTAATAAGCAATTAAAGATGATGTAACTTACGCGTTGTAAGAATAAGACCGAATCACGTCGTAGTTGTAAAACATTTATCTTCTACTATGCTTCAACTGATGTATTATAACGTAAGACTTCACATTTGTAAGGATTCAAATCAATAGCAATCAGATAAAAATTTATTATTTAGAACATTTCGAGGCTTCTAATGAGGTGAGACATTCTCCGAAACACATTCAGGATGCATGAACCTAAACCACGTAAAACATAAACCATCGCGAAACTCAATATCTCCATCTTAATGTGTTTTCGAGAAGAAAGGAATCGTCTTCGGAGAGGCGAGTGGCGTGGCTGGGCAGTGACCCCGCAAATGGAGAGGCGCCTATCTGGAGCGGAAGCCCGGGCGAAAGGTCGAGTTCCGAGATGATCGCGGCGGCGCTCTGCCTGCCGGAGCAATGGTTCGTGGTGGAGGCCCGGGGGGGTGGGAGAGGCGGAGGCGGTGCCGACTTCCGTGAGAGCAGTGGCGCCAAACAATGGGCCGAAATGAGCCAATCAGCGCGTGCAGTCAAGTATCTGTTCTTTACGCTGGCTAAATAATGATTTTATTAACAGGATTAATATATTACAGACATACAATAATTACATAGGCACACACAAAAATGTAAAAGCTGTCAGACTCAAAGACTTCACACATGTTTCTCTATTTGGACCGATTTTATATTTTTGATATTAATACTCTCAATAAATATTCAATTATTCAAATAAACAGAAAATTGAATTAAACAGAATTGACTGACGATCACATTGGAGCACCCAGAAGCATTAGAGCAACTTGTATAATCCAAATGCTCTTGTCTTATGCACAGAAATACGTGAAAGATCCCAATTAGGAGATGTTCCAAATTCAGCTACTTTCGTTAGAGCGGGAGCACACGTTACGGTAGTGCTACTCGAAAGATCCAACCTAAATGCAAGCATTTTAAAATCGGGATTCGAGTACCGAAAGGTCTCCTAGTTATAGCATTAATTAATCAAATTTAACTTTTTATTAGATATTTTACCCATTGGTGCAGCTCTCTCGGTGCTGGACTCCGTAGGATGGTGCCCAGAATTATAACTTTTGTTTTTCTTTCTTCACGTGGTCGTGCCCAGGTACATGTTAATTAACAGGAATGAAAAGGACGTTGAATAAATAAAGTTTATAATAAAAGTTACTCTAGTTTTGTTTCTTTAATACAAGTTAATCGGGCCGGACATATTCAGGAGTTATATTTGAGGAACAAAATTAAATTAACAATAAAAGCAAGAAATACATTTGAAAAGCGTTGACATCTACCCAGAATTTATTGTGTGGAATTTCTTCTACACTCTTTAGAAAACGAGTGTCTATTTGTTTTACAAATTTGTCAGCTGAGAAAATTCTTAATCACTTACCTAAACTTAATTACCTATTCTTAATCACTTACCTAAACTTAATTACTTATTCTTAATCACTTACCTAACCTAAATTCTTAATCACCACTAATCTTAATCATAAATTCTTAATTCTATAATAGATTGATTCAATGAATAGTCTGTGAGAAAAACATATGTGGAAACAAAATGCTCACCCTTATTCACTTGGTTTGGTGTGCCTTTGTTGCTCGAAGAGCAGTGCGGAGAAAAAATCACGAATGACAGTCAACACTAATTAGAAACGCTTGAAAGGGTTAGTATTCCTGTGGTTCGACCACCACCGCGGCTTCATCAGCTAGTTAGCCAATCATAATGTTGAAGCCCTCTTCAAGATTGCAAAGTCTGCAACAAGGGGTTCCAGTCGAAAAGACAGACACGCAGCAATAACGCAACGTTGAACTGTCCGTAAACTCGTGGCGTCCGCCAGTCGAAGCGGTGAGGGCAGGCCATCCAGGTGGGCGCGGAGTTGGTTTGGGCCCACTGCGGAGCGCCGGGCCGTGGGAGAGCGAGTGCAGAGGGCAGGCGCTGGGCGCGGCGGGGCTCCCCCGCTTCGCGTCTGTCAGCGCCAAGCTCCGCCTGGCGCCCGGCCCGGCCTGGCCCGCGCCCGGCCTGCCTCCGCCAGCTCGCCTCCCGTCTCTCGGCGCCCCGCACCGCCACCGCCACGCCACTACTGCCGCCGCCTCCGCCACCACCATCGCCGCCGCCGCCGCCTCTCTCTACTTCCCGCACGCGCGCTGCCGCCGCCGCCGCCTCCCTTCTTGCCGCTCCCAATTCGTAGTTTTTTCTGCTAACCGCTGGACTCAAAGGTCTCTACTTCCATTTAAATAGTGACATATGACAGACGCGGTTATCCAATCGGGTGCTTTGTTATGAGGCGACTAATAGTTTTGGTTTTGAAATTCCCGATTGAATAACCACGTCTCAGCTGATCAGCAACTCAATTTAACCCGTCAGAGGTAGTGTGATGAGAAGCAACGCAAAGAGGTGGCGCCTGGGTTTGATCGACCCGATAGGTTTCGTTTCGTGATTCCTTTGTGGTTATCAAAAATTCTTCTGGTATGAAGGTAATGAATCTGTAGTATTTTAAGAAAATGACATATATTGATATAATTCATGAATTCCGTAATATTTATTTGAAACCTAGTTAGCTCATAGTTACAAACGTTAATGCAGATCAGAATTTGGGGACATATCAAAGACGAAATGATGTAGCAAAACGAATAATAACTTTTGTAGCCCACAAAATAAGTATACCGATTTCAAAATATAATCACTGGAAATTGTTGAAATATTTCTATTTAATCTTAATGAAATTAAATTTATTTCTAAGAGCTGGTTTGGCGCTTCTAGTGAAAGGCAATTCGCTACCTCAGATTGACGTAACTACAATTTTTGCAATTATTTAATAACTATGACAATCAGAATCAGAACTTATTTTTGCACCCTAGGAGCAAACAAACATATTACTGGATGTGTTAGTATAGAAGTCAGAACTGGACGTATCTAGAAAATTATATATATTTTTAGAGTCAACGGAACATAAAAGGTGTCGTATTTGACTGACTGCAAATATTTCGTGTGTTTAGTTACATCAGTTTGACCCTAAGGTAGCGAATTCTTGTCTTGAAGAGACTTACTTCTGATTCGCGGTAAATGTGTAATGATGATTACTGACCTTGTTATTAGCGGGTGATAAGGTGCATTCGTTGTATTATATTTTCCAACAAACATATTTTGTGAAGGAATCAACCCTGCGCTTTCCATGTCGTTCAAATTAGTCTCCATGTCTGTTCCGTGTCAGTTGATCTTTCAACTGAGCAATTAGTTGCAATCTAGTGACGAAAATCCTCTGCCGTCAGTACCAGAACCTATTAGTCTAAAAGGAAGTTGCAAAGTCGAATTTCATATCAATGAAGGAATATACGTTTTGCCGCTGTTTCTCTTGACCGGACCATAGGGCATCAGACCTTCCTGAAGACGATTACCACCATCCCCGGATCTGCTGGTCTTGTAGAACAGGAGCCCGCGAAGCCCGAGAACAAGAGCCATGATGCCCCGCCCAAATAATCCACTAGCGGCAACGGAGCACATTAAGGAGCACGATACGGGCGTTTTAATTCAAAAATATTACCTCATAGATTTATACCCTCGTTTGAGGAAATTTGTGGGGCCGACGGAAGAGGGCGTGCTCGTTGCCCTTAACCTGTCCGCACCCTTTCGTGGGGGACTCCCTTCCTTCAGGGAGAACGTAGGAGGAGCAGGGTGTAAGAGAATTGTAATTAGGGCGGAGTGCAGCGGACTGAAGAATACGATGCCCGCAATTTGCGTCGGGAGCTGAATAACTTGCCAGCCAACAGACCGGCGAGACAATTGGAAGAGACATCGCGATCCGCTTGAGGACTCACTTGAGGAAATGAGACCTGCCGCAGGGAAGGGTAACAGTGGGTGGGCGCAATTAATTCTTCCCCAGTTGCCAGCAAAGCGGAACTTTTAATATAATAAAAATAGCACCCTGTCGCGTAGGAACTTCTAATGGATATCCCGCTCCCTTTGAATTAAATTACTCGATTGAGGCACAAATGATGCAACTTGGAAATGACATTTATGTGTTCGTTTTCACTAAAACACATTGAGTAAAGTCGTGAACAGACTCGACATTTCTGTCCAATCTCCTAAAACAGCACTTTTTACTAATACGTACCGCTAGCAGTTTTAAAATACTTAAATGAAAGGTGGTGTTAAAGGTGATTCTTAAGAGAAAAGCAAAATATTGCCGAATTGTGCTTTCTAGAAGATTGCCGAACTGTTTTAGGCGAAATAACGTATCTTGAAAATCTGTCATAATACATACATTTTTTTTCAAAGTTCCCCAACCAGTATCCTTGGTGAGGCGGTAATTTATTTTCCTTTTGGGGCAGTACACAATCTGCAGACTTTCTTGGCTTTTGAGGCAGAAGGGGCGAGTACTTATAATCGAGCTAAAGCTAAACTTAAACTAACTTACTGCTAACATTTCGTAACTGACCTATTTTACGAATAACGCTTCGGCCGTTTCTTTAGGTCTAGAAAAATATTTGACTTATAAATGACTCGTTTAGTTTGAACATTTTGCCTTATTTTTATTCTCATTTACACAACAATTCTCACACTCCAGATTTGCACTGATATCTTATTATATTCATTCACTCATTTATCCAGCGCTGTATTTCCATTATGTACAGTATTTACACTTGTACTTTCTCGCCACGGCACTGACTAAGTTCGAAGTGTGTGTAGGGTACTGGCCCTTTCGTGGGAATGCAGGGGGGGCGACCTGCAGCACCGTCTGCGAGGCGACTACATTCGGCGTCTGCGATGGTGGTCTTAAAACGCTAAAAAAGAATGTGTTTAGTATGCATTGATTCCTACCTTGTAAGTAATGACTATAAACTCATTTAAGATTTAAAAAACAATAGAAAATCTCAAGAAATATCACACTTCTGAACCGCGACTTATAACAATAAAGATTTTGTAGAGTTTTTTCAGTTTTTTACTATTTTTCCCCTCAGTCCCATTGTCGGGCACCGGAGAAATCGCCCGGACTGCCCATGCCCAGCGTCGGCACTGGTAGGCTTCACATTCCCAGAGATTTGTTTCAATGTGTGGAGTTCTGAAATGCCAGGAAGCTGCGGTGGCCGATACGTATGTTTTACTCCTCCCCTCTCTTAGTGGAGCCGAAGAAAGGGCAGGCTTACATCAGTTTAAATATTTATTTGTAATTACGGTGGGTTCAGTATTTTATACATTGCAACCGTATTCAGTAAATAATTAATATTAGTAATCACACTGCTACACACTCGCGTGCAAACATTCACCCACCCCCCACCCACCCCACACACACCACACACACACACACACCAACACCAACAACGCTCCGCGCGCAGATGGGAACAAATTCTGCTTCTTGAAATACACCTACTGAGGAATGGACGTGCCTTCCCTTGCGGTTGAAATTGACCTGCTTTCCGCCTATAAAGAGACACCTTTCTTGTTCAGCTGCATGTGACATGCACGCAGCTTTCCCTCACGGAAAATTGAGCCTCCGAATGCTTCGCCAACTGTATCCCCAGAAGCACTACCCTGAGATATGTACTGCATTACCCTGAGATTATACTTTGATTTCCCTTATCTTGGCTGGCAGTGCTTTTACTTACCGCATGGGCTTCTATATTCTATTTCGTGCTAAAGTTCTGAATATACACACAATTCTATTATAGTTATTTAAATATGCAACAAACAATTAATTATTTTCAATTAAAAATAAACTGTCTACGGAGCATGCTATTCTCATTGCAGTGAGAGAGAAATACGTACCCCATAATCATTATATAAGTTATCTATAACTTCTCGACAAACGTTAGGGTAATTTATATTAACAAAACTTGCGTTTTAAAAGATTGATGAATTGTGATAGCTCTGGCTTACGTGTACAAGTGAGATGCCGTGTTTACTTTCATGTGATTTCGGGTGGGGAATACTGAAGTCACGAGGCAGCTGAGGCCTGGCCCTGAAGCGGGGGAAGGGGGAGACTACATCTATCCCCAGCTATCTGAGTTCAGTACAGTGTCTGCTACGGCTTCCTGCCCATCGCCGCCTTCCAGTGACCCAGTAAATAAGATCCCCAGCGAAGATCTCACAGCGGGGCAGTAGTGGGCAAGCGCAAAGATTGCAGTGCAATTATTCAGTGGGAGCAATATTTTTGATGCAGTCATATACGAAATATTTTAAGTTTCTTCTTCTTCACTTCATGGATTAGACCACTGCCTGTTCCGTCCTCACAGTTTCTCTCCATCATCCGGCTTTTTACTGTGAGGAATTCGAGTAGGAGTTATTTCTCCAGTGCGGATTACCTGTCCACAGCTGGATAGACAGATGTTGGGGTTGCCAACTTTCAGCCTTCTGACTTGCTGGGTATCTTTTCGGGTCAGGAGGCCGAGGCGCCTCGAATGACACCTCCTTGGTGGAAGGGGTCTAACCGTGAGCGACGGACGAACACAGGTTACACGAATAGTGTACTATGAGGAATGTAATACTGGAAAATGAATTAAATAGGGAGCCCGCTTCCGTTCTTCATGGTTGCTTTTCTGTATCCGTTCTATTCCTTTGTTAGTCCATTGTGTTTCCCTAGTAAATATCGCGATGCCCCCCCTCCCATCGATCCAAAATCACTCTGTCATTGAAATTATCATCGGTAATACCTCGAGTGCATTGGAAATTGTCGTTAAATTCCCGACTCGCGAAGCGAAGGAGGGTTTATCTGAGAATTTCCAAAGCACGAGTGGTATTTAATAGAACTATTCCAGTGAAAAATGTCCAACCAATAACTGAAAGGGTATGTTAAAATCAGAAGTTAAGTTATAGTGCATACTGTTTATTGAACATTGACATAGCGATTGATGTATAGCGCCTCCTAAGATAGGTGAGTCACAGATTATGATTAGCCAGTAGGTAGAAGCGGTAAGAAAAATCTGATAGAAAGGGCGATAAACTTTTTCAGGTACACCGACCTGATTGGGGCTCTTTTTACGTAAAGTTAAATACTATTGGTTTTAATTTCACGAGTGGAATAGTCAAAATAATCAATGACCATCTCTCGTGTAGGTTTTAACTTCAATTCCATTAAACCGGGGCAGGTGGCTCAGGGCTTCAACTGATGTCACTGCAGTGCCTCTGACCGGGAGTGGAGTTCCGACGGCAGGATTTGCGACAGTAGCTTATCAGTTACGTAAGTCAAATTCAGTCGCTGTGTGGAGGAGAATTTTAGCGGCCGGCTGATCTGATAGGTAGTTTATCGTGGTTTCTCTGACCAATTCCAGGCGAATGACGTAACAGTACCCGAACGAACGAACGAACGCGCCAATGACCGCGCGCGATCTATCCTTGCTCTTCCTTGTCCAATCCTTACCTATTACTCTCTCTCTCACACACACGCGCGCGTAATACCACACATGTCGGGAGACTGATCAGGAGCTTGTCGCGATTGGGGCGGTGCCCCGCTGGTGGGAGATATCCTGTTGAGAAAAAACCCGCTAGCCGGCGGAAATGTTGGCGCTGCTTCCCACCATCCAGCGAGGGAAAGATCATAGACACCTTCCGAGAGAAAACATGCACTATACTCATGGGACTAATGACAGCAGTTGACAGATTGGAATCACTAATCAAACAATCAATCAATAAAATATAATTATAAAGAAAAAAATAATGTTTGTTCTCAATCAGAGCACTAGACAATAGTGGTTTTGAAATTATTTGTTCTTTTGTTCGTTAAATTTTAGATTTACATTCGCGTGTTGTGTCGTGTGTTCCGGAATCGAAACTTGAATGCAAATACGTATTACGTAGTGCCCTCACATTAATATCAATGTCCCGTCAAGACTGATGGATTGCATACGATTATTGTTACTTCTTGTGTATTTTTTTTTTATTTTTGTTCGTTGAACATCATTATGAAAAAAAACTGATAGTATTTTCATTGTTTAGCAGATCATGTTGCCAGTGAAGACGATGAGACAGCAACGTTCTCATCATTACATACAACTTCTTGCCTTTAGGTAAGTCTATTTAATTTCATTTTTCCTGGTAGTGAAACGAAACATTCTGTTCCATCGCTTGTTAGGCCTTGGGCGGAAGTGGCTCCCCAATCTACCAGAACAGGAGATGGCTTCGCCGACGCTCCGTATCTCTCCCGAGGCAATATTTTTAATTAATTTTCTTGTTGAGGTTGTGTACGACAGTTGTCCCTGGCAAAGGCATAAACCTATATTCCTGTGGGATTTGTTTTTTTCAGTTGTGAACGCTACTCCTCTAGAGGAAATGTAATTAGGATCAGGCAAATTTAATTATTTCTTTCACTGACAATTGTAAAATTTTGTATAATTATTGAGTCATTGATGCTCCAAATACAGGAAGGAAATAATACAGTTACAATTACAGTTTGTTTGGCGTTACAATTATTCAACTCGGTAAGGGGTGGGATCGAAATGGAATGTAGTGTTTTCGGGGATTCGGTTGTTTGGAAATGTTAAGAGTTGTTACGAAGTGGACGGAGGAAGTTCTTTCAGGACTTACTAATTCAAATATTCACCTACCGCGTTTACAACTTTTCAAGTAATAGAAATACTACGACTTCCTCAGCGTGGAGGAATGCAGGGAGCGAAGCTTCCTGAATGTTAAACCAGCTGACGAAAGCAGCTTGTTCGGAATGACGTGACGTGTGCTCCGAAAGGAGGTCAGCGACTTGGCCTCAAGTCTTCGATAAGTAAATGGGGAGGGGGAGCTAGCATTCCAGCAATTCCTAGCCGTCTCACTCGCGGAGCGTCACTAGAAGAATTTCGTCCGCTCAGTATCGAAGAATGCAACTTGCACGGCTGCTGAAGAAACAAGAATGGAAACGAAACTTGTCTCATTTCAGCGACTTTGGGGAGCTATAAATCTTTTTTTCGAAGGACGCGTACCGGAAATTCGGAACATCAGTGAATGTGTCGGCATCTATATTGTGATTTGCTCTTCTTAGATAGGTTTTTTATGAATCTAGATGCAATATCTGAATATGAATGAGGAAAAATGCCAAAAATAGGCTTCAGAAGGTAAAATACGCAAAAAGAGGCAAAATTAAAATCTACTAAAACAACTCCAGAAGTTCAATTAAATGATCGCTATTGATGTATATCTTAATATTGTAAGAATTATAAAGAGGCATGTTTCCAAACGTCATAACATATAATTGAAGTCTACATTAAAAGGCATTGTTCAAAAGTAAAAAGTAAAAAGTGATTTTTCGTTAAAATCCATCCCCTAGTAATGAGAATGTTAAAATGAACCGAGATAGTTTTAAAATTTTAATGACGAAAACAATGAGGCAATCGTAAAAGTGACAACTATGCCTGCAGAAGAATATTAGGTTGACAATAGATTACAAATGCATGATTAGGAATCGTAGCAAGTTCAGTGACCAGCTTTTAAAAAATCAGGAAGTGTTCTGATTATTTGGATTCCGTGTGGAATGCGTCACAGCCGCTTTCACAAACATATTTGTAAGGTCATTAACATTGTGCTACAAAATACATTGGCAGATGCCAAACAAAGTGTCTGTTGCATATTCAAGGAAACAACATAGGATGTGCCTCGGCTCTTCAAATTAATCAAAATATTTTTTTAAAATTGTGTTTGCCTAGAGTAGTGATCGATGCTAATCGAAAAGACCCGTGGAAACCACACCTTTGATTACTCAATGGGAACGGAAACAAATACTTGTACTTTGCATGATCATTCGCTCCACTTACGAAAACATTTAGAATATACACAGGGTTTCCGCTGGCCGAAATGCCGATGTACCTCTGTCGCTATCGTAGACGTCTGAGAAAAATTCAAAGAAAAAATACGAAAAGGAGAGCATTGACTTTTGAATTAAAAAAAAAAACAACTCCCGTTGGTTTGATGCTAATAAGTCAACTTTCGATGTGCGCCGACGCCTCGAACTTGATGTTCGTCACATCAAGTGCATCCGTCTGGGATCGAACCCTTGATCTCCCAGTCATCTGTACTTTTCGATCGTCAGGCGTTGCCGTAAAGTTCGCGGTTACCAACGCTGGTGAATGCGTCAAGCGAAAATTGAATTATGAAAGGGCCCAGGAATCTTTCTCTTCGAAGCACAGAGACAGCATTTTCCACCGGCCTTAAGTCCATGGTGCTCCTCTGCTATTCGAGCTTCGCACGCGAAGAAACTCGTAACGCATAGTACTCGTAAACTAGATGTGTAATAGCGCACACATACAGCGAGTATTCGCAAACGAGAGGTGACGTGTTTTCAGCTGCCTCTGTTCGTGTTTGGGAATGGGCATCAATTAAATTTGTGGCATTCCGATGAAGATATTCAAGCTTGGATTATGAAACTGCCTCTGTTTTTTGAAAATACTTCTATTGTACTCGTGATCTTTATTTCTGTGCAACGTTCGTGTTGATGATTTTACTTCGTTGTAATCTATCTTCAGAAGACAGAAATATCGTGCGCAAGAATATTAATCATTGCCTTACAAACACGCCCGACCATATTCAACTCAATACACTGACACGAAATATTTTGTTCGGTCATCGTTGATAATAAATGTATTAGCTCACATGCGTGATTCATACGACATATATAGGCTTCTGGAGTGTGATCATTGATTTAATATATTTTAGAGGTTTTGTTAAATAATGCTACGAGCACAAATTCCTATTTTGTTTTCCATCATAATAAATATAAATATTTACTTAAACTGCTCACATTCTGTTTTACCATGTGTATTATGTGCAGCCGTCCTCCGGAGGTCGGTTCAAAATAGTTCAACAAAACTCGCGTTTTCAGATCATTTCATATTTTAAAAACACGAAAGGTTAGGCAGCAAGGGGAAAATGCTACCAAAAGTTTTTACCTTCCAAAAAGAACGAGTCTAAAAAATGCAAATTCAAATGATCCACATCCAAAGTTAAGGAGTTAGACTGCAGCTTACAGAGAAATCACAATAACAAAAGTAATGGTACAGACATAGTCTTTAATATTAATTAATTACATTTGTATCTTAGGAAGAAACGTTTAATTGAAGCGGATTGAATGTGTCTATCAATAAAAAAATTATAACGTATTACAACAATGTAGAACATATTTTCATCAAAGTAATCTGAGAGTGGATTAGGGCCGTTTCAAAACTTTTGATCAGATTGTAAAATATCATTATCTTTTTCGTGGTAATTACCGATTAATGGAAAACACTTGAACATTTCATTAATGAAATGCAATCGAGCGAAAACTACTCTTAAATGAATACCTGCCTTAAATTAATATCTTTAATTGAATTCCTGGCAGGGAGAAATTAATTATTTTCCAGCAGGAGACACCAAACTTTCCGGGGGAAGGGGTGCGATCTCTGCAATCCTCTCCATCAACTTGGACCTTGGCGGGGTGGGCTTGGACCTTTTATCATTTTTAAACGCTGTAGAGTAACGAATGAGTGAGCCATGAAGAAATGTGGACTAATATGGTTGTAAAACTCTTGTTGAGTAAAATATTCAGAGACGAGATATTCTCGCGGTTTAATTGTTAGAGTTTTACAATATTAATTATCGAGTTTATTCGTCTAGTCGTGCAGTGCTGCCACTCGCAGAATAATCTTAACAACCAGGGCCGGATTTATGTAGTGCGGGGCCCCAAGCAGAAAATTGTGTTGCCCCCCCCCCCGAAAAAATAGCTCCATCTTTATTAGATAAAAAAATGTATTATAGTGCAAGTACTTTCTGTACAGATACAAATGTAAACTGATAATTTTTATAGAAATTTTTACTTTTGTTACATTTTGTTACTCAGTAGACTACTTAATTAACAATTATTTCACAGACAAAAAAATACGGTATGCGTATTTTTCCTAAACGGCCCCTGGTGAATGGGGGCCCCCAAACAACTGCTTGGTTTGCTTGTACATAAATCCCGCCCTGTTAACAACTACCACTCCTGCTTTGCTCATTCCCCTATATTCGCCACTCCGTGAACGTACACGTGCGTTTTCCCAATCACTGGTGTTTCTTGCGATTATCTTCACACGTGGTGTGTGCTATTTCATTTCCACTGCAACTTCCTGTCAAAGAGCCGCGAGCGGATCGTTCACCTTTGAGCTGGCGCATTCCTGGCGGGCGCGGGCGGGGGAGGGCGAGTGGGCGATGGAGGGCCCTCCAGCGCCCTCCAGAGCCCCCGACGCGGACCGGGGCCTTTGCTCGAGGGCCCTCAGGGGCCCAAGCGTCCGCGCCGCCGACGGGGCATCGAACTCGGGAGCTCTGATACAGCGACATGGAGACGGTCGAGTGGAGCTACGCGAGTATTAGCTACTCGAAGAGGAGGGTGAGAGAGGGAGAGATACAGGGAGGTTACAAGTACGTGGGCTGGCCTATGATACGTTGCGTCCATTGCCATTTTGCTGTTGCCACCGCTGTTTTGGCTCAAACTCCGATTACTCTATCAGGAATGTTTGGTGGATGAAGCAGGGCCGGGTCCGGGTTCTTCTGGTTTCTCGCGTTTGTACCACGTATTCCATGACTGCTTCTTCACTATTCAATACCATGATCATTATAGTGATATATTTGTCGCCGTGTTGACCATCCTTGGAGTGAAGTGAACCTCACGAGTGTACTCAAAAAATCAAGGGACGTATATTGTAAATACTTTGTAAGTAGCAGAGCCTATTTGTCCGTCCAGGTAAAAACTATATATATATATATATATATATATATATATATAACTCTTCTTTTCAATTCTAGTATAACAGAGAGCTTGACATCGAATTATAATTGCAAACTGACCTTTGGTATCAATTTATTATGAGTAGTGGATGTAAATGCATTGCGATATCGTTGTGTCATTTCCCAGCTGATAAATATTCAAAATACAATTAATTTGTTTCGAAATATGTCTTGAATGAAACTATAAGAGAATTGTTAATAGACAACGACGTTCATTTATAAAATATGAATATAAATTAATCATATTTAAAATATGTTTCATTCGGACTACGGTCACAGAAACGTATTGAAATTTGTATTGCAATGTGAATATGATGTAAAATAAAAAGAAATTAAAACGAAACTCTGTAATCCTGCCTTAGCAATTTTTTTGTAATAACTTATAAAGTAATCTTCAAAGTAATGTTCAGGCCATTGACGCAAAAGCATTTTTAGAAGACATTTCTGACTAACGGTAGAAGTTTCAAGAAGCGCTTCGGCGTATTCGTTCGAGAAAATTTCTTCAAGTTTTTAAGCGAAATCAGCTACCTTCCAGTCTCATCCGACTGTCCGTCCGTCCGTCCGTCCGCACCGGATCAAATCATCAATTGATGTCACTGCAGTGCCTCTGACCGGGAGGTCCTAGGATTCGAGTCTAGATGGTGGCTGGATTTTCGACACTAGCTACATACCTAGGTCGAATTCAGCCGCTCTCCGGAGACGAATTCTAGCGGTGGGCTGCTCTGATCGGTAATTTCCCGCGGTTTCACCAATCAATTCCAGGCAATTGGCGGAGCAGAACCCTAACAAACGGGCCAGGATTTTCGACCCTACCGTTTCAGCTAGGTCATCGCTGTCAGGAGAAGAATTCTAAAGCCGGCTGCTCCGATCGGTAGTATTTCATTGGTTTCTCCTATCAGCAGCAAGCGGATACTGGAGCAGTACCCTAACAACCGAGCTGTGGACCTCGACAGCGCGCGATCTTTCCTTTCACTTCCTTGTCTTTTCCTCATCCTACTTACACACACTTTCACTTACACATATGCTTGGAGACCAATCGGGAGCTTACAGTTATAGCTTGTCCCGGGTGGGCGGTGCCCCGCTGGTGGGAGATTCCTGGTTTCGGAAAACCTCTGAAGCCAACGTGTAGGCCAGTGCCGGATCTCGACATCCAGGGAAGATCGCTGTCACTTTCCGCTATAAAACAAGTACTACACTGATGGGATGAGCCCATCCATTGATCAGTCTCGAAGATTGAAAGATCCGCTGGAGAAACATCACACACTTGAGCGCGTGAACTGTGCGAGGCCATAGTGCACTTCAATGCCGCTGTGTAAAGTACGTTAAAATGAATCTCGTGTGACGTTCAATTTACGGAGCCGTGGCAGATAGTTCGGAGAATGTCAGAGTTGATGGAAATTGTGCATAGATTTAGGTGCTAGCATTGCTGACATGCAGACGAACAGGCGTTTTGCCAAAAGAAACTCTACTCGTATTTCGGTACTTTATTTCGGTATGGGACCCTCCGTCCGCTACATTATTGGCCGCACGATACACACATAAGAAAGCCACTAGGGACCAGGCAGAGCTTCTGGGGGGCGTTCCCCTGAGCCGCCCGGGCGGATGACGAGGCGAGAGGGCGGGGCGCCGCAGCGTTCCATCACGGCCTTGGCCGCGTGCGCCACCATGCACCCGCGCCCAAATACGGCGCTGCGACGGGAAATGCATTTCCGCGCGTACCCCGCCCGCCCGCTCACCGCCCAACACCTCGCCGCCCTGATGGCGCATATGGAGTAACGATGCGACATCGATAACAAAACATCGATGTTAGCGAACATTGATGTTCAAAATTTAAAACATCGATGTTAAAAATACAGCGACTGAAAACCATAGATATTTTTCAACATCGATGTTTCTAGACTGGTTTAATAAACCCTAGTTTTAAATTCAGTGCATCAACATTTAATTTGACAGTGTTCGTGTTTATTAATTCGCCGAATAAGGGTATGAGAAGGGGCAGCAGACTCTACGCTCAGAGCGTATTGGTTAACGACATGTCAATGTGCGAAATAAATATAAAGAAACAGGACATACAAGGGCGTGGAGGTCATATCGGGCGAGAGAGTTAGGTCGCTGAAAGTAGTTCATAGACCGTCATTTTGATTTGAATCACTGTTACCGTCGGTAGTATTTCATGTTATACTTTAACAGTATTGCTCTTCTGGGAATTCTTCATTCAGAAACAATATATCGAAAAAGAAAAAAAAATCGATCACAAAACATCGATGTTAATATAACATCAACGTCAATACAGCGATATTTAAAACATAGATGTTTCTACATACACATCGATGTTTTGGAAGCATCGACATCGAAGTTGGATCCCTAAAATGGAGTGCGCTAAAGAACACTATAAGAAGAGACCACTTTAACACCTTCTGGTTGGTCGCTGCTAGCAACATTACTAAAAGTCACGTTCATGCACTCATATTCCATTCGTTTCAAATATCTCATTTGTAAACGGCTTCATCACACTTTTTTGCAATGTCGTCGCCCTGGAAGACGTATATTTGTTTCCCGACCTGTCAATGTGGTCCCTTCTTAGTGTTCGAGAAACTTTACTATACCGGCGTATAAGTGACGACGTATGCAACTTCGGAGGAGGAGTCGATCGGTATAAAGGACCCACAAAGCGTTGATTCTGGCTACACTAAGTGTTACGGGAAATAATTTACTACATTCATGAATGATATTTATTCAACACGACTTTGCGTCTTATTCTGTCGAAAATCGCAGATTTCTGACTCAGCATTACAATTATTTATCTTTACTGCGTAAGTACGCTAAACGGCAGACTAAAATAATGACTACTGTTATTGAACTTTCTAAAACGTTAAGTGTAATCTCCTGAATCAATGACACTCAATATTTTGGTAACGGTGAAAAATTAACTACTTTGCCAGTTTCATCGCCATCCAAAATCCGCCATTCTAAATTTAACATAATAGTAGTATGTATGTGAACTGAGATTAAGTACGGTATGGTATTATTGTTTTTTGTAAGCCCACCCATCAGTTTTTTTAAGTTAAGTTTTCCTTTTCAAATTCTCTTGTTGCATGATGCTTGTGATCCTGGTGTTTGTCATGAAGTTTTGCTTCTTCACTGGAATAGAATGTTCGATATCTACATAACGGAAAGGCAGCGTTTCCCGGAATATGAGATAAACTGGTATCTGGATGGATTGAGTCACTGCTCGTCCTGTTATTGGTTGAGAGGTGGCAGAGATCAAAGGCAGCGGAAACCACAGATGGTCTCCGGATTCGTCTTCCGTTCCCTCGTCTCATCGCAGACAGTGTTGTTGCAAATCGTTGCCCATGTTTTTCCTCGGGTTTTGCAACACAGATGACAGAAAAACCATTTTTCAAGTCGCAAACTCAGAGTCGACCTGCACTTCTAACATGGGGAAGCACTCGTAGACGTTCATACCAACTTAACTGACAAAGACGTGTTTCAGCGTCTGGCGTCTGTAGCATTAGTTCAAAGAATTAATTCAATAAATTTCGCTGGGGCAAGGCATTTTCCATAAGCTTGATATTTAATCCGTTGGGAAACATTATTATGCATTTAATCCGATATGATACATTAACGAAGAAATTATATTGCATTATTTCACGAATTATGCAAAAGTACGTTAATACGAAGTTGAGTATAGTTGCTTTTTGTTACTGACTCGCTGAGTGTAATTGGGTATTTCAGAAACGTCCCGAGAACGAAATCCATTCACATAAAAATCATCAAACTCACCCGACAACAGTAATGAATATTTACCAAATTCGAACTTGTTCTAAAAATTTCGAAGGAAAAGGCGATTGCATACTGTCATGTCCTAGGACTTGCAAGAGTATCTGCGAAGAGTGAAATTAGTATGCTAGTGTATCCATCTGGATACAAAATGTTGATCAATATAATGTCGCTTTCCCAAACATCGTACGAATAATTCACGTAGGTAACACTGATTAAATACTGCGGCAGAAAGAAGACTTAAGACGAAGAGAAAGAAACTGTTAAGTGAACGAAACTGTTAAGTGAACCAATAGCAAATCCGGAAACATTGGACTTCGCGTTAATGCTAACGATTGCAGTCTGCCGTGCCCAAGTCCATTCGCATTTCATTTTCTCTGTTGCCCGCGCGCAAACAAAGCTGCAAAGAAGCTGCGGGCGCTTCCGGGGAGTCTTTTCCGGCGGCGGCGGCGCCACGCGAGCGGCGCCCTCGCCTCTTGCCCGCGGCCTCTACGGGTCAACGGCGCCGCGGCGCAGCAGGGCGCACGGAGCGGCGACCTCGGAGGCGGGGAAGTGGCGGTGACGGCGGCGGTGACGGTGACGGTGACGGTGACGGTGGGCGGTGACGGGCGGGCGGGCGGCGGCGGCGCGGCGCGCCTGCTGTGCGGATGGCGGTGGCGGTGGAGGCGCGCCAATGCGCTGGCGGTGGCGGTGGCGGTGCCGTGGCGGTGGGCGGTGGCTGGGTGCGGTGGCGGGCACGCCGGCGGCGGCCGTGGCTGGCAGCGGCGGCGGTGGGCGGGTGGCAAGCGGGGGCGGCGGGTGGGCGGTGGCAGCGGCGGCGGTGCAGTGGGGTGGTGGCGGCGGGCGGTGGGCGCGGCGCCATCAGGAGCAGTGGTGGGCGCCCTATCGCCCGGAGACGCAATAATGCGATAGGCCGCACGTCGTGGCGCCGCCTGCAGATAGCACGGCCTGCCCTGCCCTGACCCGCCCCGCCCACGCCGCTCCGTCTTCGCCTGCTGCACACGTTCGCTTCCCCGCCGCTTCGGTCCGGTCCCGCCCGCTTCCGCCCGCTTCCACCCGCTGGCGAAGACGTCCAAGTTCGTCTACGTTTCTGGCTAGAGAACTTTTTAATACAAGTATGATCAGTTCTCGATATTACCTTTCTTAAGGTGAGACTTTGGGTAATTGATACTCGACATTTCAGGGGGAAATCTCTGTGAATCATCTGGTAACCCTGTAAATGGTTCAACACAAAATAAATGATTGGTTGTACATTATTTTATTTATTAATTGTATTATTAAAGCTCCAATTTTATTCTCCTTGAAGTAAACTTTATGTATGTAAGGTAAAATGTCAATGAAACCAAAAAAAAGTTTAATGAAAAAGAGGCCCTTGAGGGGGTGGGCCACTGGTTTAGACGGCGCACGCGTCTGGTCCTCTACTTGGAACGCACCTCATTTTCTTTTTGTCTTTAGCAAACATGTCATTTAAGTTTAAATGTAACAGTCCGTATCTTTGGAGACAGAAAAATCGCATTGGTTTTACTTCGTCGCACGAATAAAACAGAATCTTCACGCGGTGGGTCGTGGGTGAACATTGGGCTGAGATTCATGATGTAAACAAAACATTCACGTTCCAGGGACAAGTCGATAACCTCCACATCCGTCATTGACATCTTACCGCAATAGATGTTCTTCCAGGAAGGTAAGGTTAGTAAAGCTCGGTTAATTCGCGGAATTAACCATTCGTTCTCTTTCATGATGAACATTTGCTAAAGAAAATTAAGACATTTATTTTTGAAGCTAACATAATTTTAATTACAATTTTTATGTACTTTTTTTCTATTACCCAACAAGGTTATAAATTCATTGATTTTACCTCGTATTACATTATTTAAAACACTAATATTTCACCCATTTGAAATACAAGCCTAACTGCATACGTACGTTTGTGCTTTTCCTACTGCAAATTTGCTTTTTTATTGCCTTATTCCCGACTTATTTTTAATTGTTTTCGGTGCCTAAAATCTTTTAGCGGCCTATCATTTGTGCCTAGCCTACCCACCGCATCAATCTCTGCTGAAAAGGGATTGTGAGCGCGTGTGAGTGAAGATCGATCGAGAATCGAATCGAGAGCTCGCACGGAGCGGTGAGGCGGACGAGCGCCCAGTGACTCGACATTTCTGCTGACACCCAAGAGGTGAAAGATGGCCGGTCGCAAAGGCCATAACACAGAGGTCTACCACTGTAGACTGTGGTCATTCTTCCACCCACGATGGCAAGCAGCTTGACTAATTTTAACCGTTTTCCTACAAATGTAGACTTCGAACGTTCTATTGTAAGTCACGAAGGCGTTTTGCTTTTCGTGCTTGTTCCTCTGTAGGCACGCACTATTATTGTTTGATTCTCGAAGGTCACTTTGATTCAAAACGAACTTGCTTTCCCCGAACATGCCATTTACTTCGACTTTGACTCTTCGAAAATGAGATACCGGCTTAGGTGGCTCGGATCATCAACTGATGTCACTGCAGTGCCTCTGAGCGGGAGGTTCTAGGATTCGAGTCTCTCCTGTGTCAGGATTTTCGAGACTAGCCTGTCAGCTAGGTCGAACTCAGTCGCTGTCTGGGGGAGAATTCTAGCGTTCGACTGCTCTGATCGGTAGTTTTACGTGGTTTCGCCGATCAATACAAGGCGAATGCCAGAGTACTACTTTAACAAATGGGTCGCGGACCGCGCGCGATTTTTCCTTCCTCTTCGTTGTCTTAACCTCACCCCTTAAGCTTAAATGCATTACTCTACCTCACATGCCGATAGACCACTCGGACGCTTACAGCTTACCGCTTGTCCTGTCAGGAACTAGCTGGTGGGAGTTACGTAATTGGATAAAACCTCGCAAGCCGACAGGTGGGTCGGCCTCGGATTCCGCCATCCAACAGAAGATCACCGCCCCCTCCCACGATAAAAGCATAAACAACACTTCCAAAACTAATGACCTGAGCATTGGATGCTCCTGGAGGATTATCTAATCAATCATTCAATGGAATGGAAAATGAGATGATATTGCCATTACGTTAAGGAATGTTGTTCGATTTAGCAGGAGAATAGAGATTATGTAGAAAGAAGGATAAACGTGGAATAGGGGCACATATGTTGGACCGCATGATATTTTCCTCGCATGTGCTGCTCTGTGTGGGTTTCACTAGGTGCATCGTCGTCTGCGATTCGTCAATACCACTTTGTCTGCTGTTGCAGAAAGCAAAATTTACAAGCGGTTCTAATTTTGTCGATTTGTCAGGTGTGTAAATCTTTTGTGGCAACGTACAAACTTTTGTGTAACATACAAAAGACAATTTTTATGAATGTGGCATGTATTTTAGTTTGGAGCTTAGTTATTGGGCTTAACAACCACGTATTTATGGTTTCCACATCCGCTCTGCCTGTTTTGAGGTTCCGAATACCAAGATGGAGGAATCACAAATACGGAATGCGTTATTGCATTATTATAGGTGGTATTACATATTTCTTCACAATAATTTCTTTCTTTCGGAAGTTGCAAGAAACAGAAAACAAAATAGTATTCCATATTTGTTCCTCTTCCTCTACAGTATATTTTCTACGAGTAAAAGTCAAGTAATGAAAAAATATTTAATTGTAGGGACTCGAATTTGTCGCTATGTCACAAAACTAGCTGAATTTTTTACAGGATAATAGTGATTGCCAATAAAAGCTGTCACTGATTAAGAGAGTCTGTAATTATAAGGATAATGTGGGTGCATCGCAAAAAATATAGTTAAGCATAACTACAGTTCCTCCCTTGGCGACACCAGACATTGAAAATATTGCGTTGAGAAATGTATGTTCCAAGATTCCTCTTGCGTAGCAGTTGTTGCTGAGCTTTAGCTGTCAAAGGTTCAATTGCTTTTGTAGCTGTCTCTTCCGAGCGAAGTGCCGATATGATTCCAAATTCCTGACATATACAATGACTACGTATCAATGCTAAAGCCGCTCTCCTCCAAATGAAACCATCAGGAGTATACGATGCACAGCGGGTTGCGAATGTTCAACATTCTACTTTCAGCTCTACTTTCATGAACTGCCCACTTTCCAGCCTCACTGCATATTCGAAATAGTTCCAGTGTCCCCTCGAACTTTACTGCCAGTAGTATTACGAAGTTACCACATAAAAAAACAGTACAACTGTAAACATTACACGTATATCCAAATGTGAGTGTGCTCATGAAAAGTGTCTTACAGTGTATGAGTAACATAAAGTGATCCCCGGAGATGTGTAACAACCGAAGAAAATCCTTGAACCTCCATCTGAAAAACATTGTTTCCATCCCATTCGCATTCGTAGTTGAAATCTTTAAACTGTTATCTCCTTATAAGAAACCTCTAATTACAAACACCCTAATTAGAAAATTTCGTCCATTTTTTTCTTTGGGGATATCCTTCACAAATAATTATACGAGATTAATAGAACATTTTCAAGATGACACATTTCTCTTAATTTTTTCCAACGATACCTTTTTATTCAAGTTATTCTCGCTGTAATTGCAAGACGCGTTCATCGGAATTGTAAGAAAGACTGAAGGAACTGAACCCGCGACATTGGTGTCAATTGAACTGGATCATTCATTGTGATACAGATCATCAAAACATCCTTTGAATGGGCTTAGTTGTACATTCATACATTTGTACAATTATTACACCTCTGTATTTTATTTCTCTGCACAGTTATTAAAAAAATTGCCTGATAATTCCTGCATCTTCGCACTGACTTACCGAGCTGCTAAAGGAACATCATTTCTACTTTGACCTTTTTTGTTTTCCTATAATTTCTACAGCTCATCTGAGACTTATTTTGCAGTATCTAAAAAATCTCCGTCCAGCGACCTCTCTTTTCCTAAAATTGAATTAAAATAATCTGCATGTGTCAGCCCAATAGTGGAACATGTTATTTTGGCTGTAATATTCTATTAAACCGATCATTTGGAACTGATCGTACAATACTATTCATTTCGTTTGTGAATAGTCGCAATTCTACTCTTCATGTTTTCTGAAAATCCGATTTCCCTGAAGCTCATCAGGTCATATTAGAACAAAGGATTTATCCGCGATGCGACGTGTGCTTGCTCTTTGCTGATGATTAAATGTATCAATTCACGGGGCCGCACAACGACACGTAATGTAAATGGAAATGCTCCTCGTAATTTGATTGCAAGTGTGTTCCTGCGAACACGCGTACAGGATTCCCCGCAACCGTACACTTACCATTCCAGACGGCGTTCGCCCGTTTGCTTCGGATTAATTTTCTTCGTTGAAACTGGCGCAGCTAAGAACAAAAACCTAACTGTATCATAAAAACGTGATAATTTGTAATTATAACGTATAACGATTTAACATACCTCATGGGATTAGGAGGAAGCTTTTGAGATTGCGAACAGCAACGATGGCGTATTAATGTTTCCTAATCACCCTGCTACAAGGAAAAAGGGGAAAAAATGGAATTATTGTGTGGGAGCGGAGATGAAGTGCAATACAGCCATTTTGATTATATCAAACTGTTTCTTAGACGGCTGGTATGACCTTTACTTCGTGAGCGAAGAATGCAAGACGGAAGTTGCAAAGAATGAAACGGAGAGAACTGCGAGGCTTCGGTTATTAAACTTCCATTAGTAGTAATGTTCGAATTCGCCATGTCTACAAAAAACCAAAAGTCTTTCATGCACTGTAAGAAAGATCTGATTATGTAAAAAAAAATTTTACCCTACACTAGGTCACAAGTTATTCTCAGAGTGTGTCATTTCAAAATAATCTATCTGTATAATCTTCATACGTGCGTAGATTGGAATTCGAAATTCGTTCCTTCAAATCCTAAAACATTCAAATAGACTGGATGCGTGTGTCACTCACCATTTCTCTTCTTTCCT